TTAGAGCCAGAAGGCGAAAGCGTTGGCAGGCTGCAAATCCCAGGGTGGCCGTAGCCGAAAGGACCCGTGGCCGTAGCCGAAAGGACCCGAGCTGCGGGAAGCAGCGGAGCTGCGACGCAGCCAAAATGGCGCGGGTCACCACAAACCAGTGCGTGAAGTGGCGCCAGGTAGACCCACCACGGGTCATGAACCGGGCCACGAGCCCGAAGCCGACACACGAAGTGGCGACGAGCGGGCGGGAGCACCACGAAGAAACCCAAGCATGAGCCCAGGGAACCGGGCACACGTGGTGGGGGCGCACGGGTCAGAGCGGTGCCGAAGACGGCTGGTGGAGTTACGCGAAGCGTCTAGAATCAATAGTCGAACAAAATGAACGTGACGCTGACGCGCTCCACGAACCAGCAGGTACGTTGCCCCACAGGCAACGCAGAGTTGGCCCTTCACATTACCACCCGCGATATCCTCAATCCGAGAACGAAAAGCACGATGCCTGTTACCACGATATTATCGTTACGCAGCAAAGCGCGCAGCAGCCGACGTGCATCCAAAAATGCTGTAATGCACAGCCAGTCGCATGATGAAACAATACACGAAATCATGACGCGAGCCATCATATGCATAAAAAGCAGTGCGATAACAGTCCGTAGAGAGTTGGAGCAGCAATTGCAGCCACCACAACGACGAGAACGGGGCTATGGAGGGATCGATGCCATGGCTGTTGTTGCACAATACTGTTTTGAGCGTCGATTCCAGCTAGCCACGTGCACAAAATAAGATGAGAGACCAGGCAGTGAAGGCTGCCATCCCGCCTGTACTGGTCGGTGTCGACGAGTAGCATATAATGGTTTAAAGGGTTAAGCTGCTTACCATCTTCATTTCGCATGCACTCTGCACTCTGCAAGCCCAATCGCAAAGCACTGCTTTGCAACAAGCCACGTCCTCCACTTGCGCCCATCAAGACTGATTCTGGTCAGGCCCCTCCCAAAACCTAAGGCTGTCGACGAACACGCGATAAAGCAATTGCAACATGAAATAATGCCGCACACTTTTTTAGGTCGCGGCGCGGCAGAATCGATCCGCTCGCGCGTCCAAGCAACACGGGCTACGGCACTGCGAATTGTCCCGCATGCAAGAGGAGTCGGGCACGTACTGACCCAGGTGAATGCAAACCCGGGTCAATCAGGCCTTGCAGGATCCTGCAAGATCCTGCGCGCAGACCCGGGTCAAGGCACCCCTGGCCCTGCAGGATCCTGCAGGATCTGGCGCTCTGGCGGACCCCCGGTTGCACTCACCCCTGTCCCTTGAGCCCCGAAGGAGGGGAGAAAGCAGAGAGCCGGCCGAAATAATGCTGCACACCGATCCAGAAAAACAGGATCGACGGCAATCTTGTCGTCCCCGATCTCCCGTGACGTGCGGACGACGGGCTGCAGGAGGCCGGCAGGTGCTCTCGGAGAGCTGGAGGCGCAGCGTCCCGCGCCAGGGTGGGCTCTGAGAGATCCGCTTCGGGCGCAGTGCTCGGAGGGATGAGGGGGGCTGGGGATTCCGGGGCGTCCAATGATGGACAGACCCCCCTTTAGTAAAACGTGGTTTAGTGAAAACGACCTGAGGCTCAAACCTGGCGGGCGCAAGCCTGGAAAATAACGGCCACGGCGCCCTTTCGAGAATCGAAAACGGACAATTCACTAATCGACGTGTCACTGTTGGGGGTTCTGTCCACCCCCGATCCAAGAGGGGAGCGTCCAAGGGGGGGTTGCAGACCATGGCCCGAGCCACGCGCGCGGCCCAGAGGGGGGCCAAGGGGCGTGCGTGGGGTGAAGGGGCGGCCGTAGGATCCTGGGTATCTACAGGCCTCCTAGATGGGGTCGGAGCAGATGGGGTCGGAGGATCGCGCCGCATCGCTGATGCATCGCCGATGTAGCGCCGACGCATCGACGATGCATCAGCGACGTCGGCGATGTATCGGCGACGTCGGCGTGGGGAACATCGGGCCGCACATCGAGCCGCATCACCGATGCATTGGCGATGCGGCTCGATCCTCCGACCCCATCTACTCCGACCCCATCTAGGAGGCCTAGAATATCATGACCCTGCCCATGACATCCAGCCGGCCCCCTGCAGTCAATCCGTATAGTAAGGATGCGGGGTAAGGATGCAAGGACCTTGGACGTCCATTTCGAAGCTTTTCGAGCGGGGCGCGGCCAACGAAAGCGGCCAAGGATGGACCGAGGAGGTAAGGTTTCTTTCAAGGGTACCCTCGGTAAAATTGCCCACCCTGACTACGCGGGGGCCAAATGCGAACCCTACCCCTACCCCCCACGATTTCTGAGGGGGGTGGGGGTCATTTCATACGGGAGCTCCCGAACGAAGTGAACCCCACCCTCCTCCTCAGAAATCGTGGGGGGTAGGGGTAGGGTTCGCGTTTGGCCCCCTATATGCGGAATGACTGCACTGCTCCACCCCCCCCAGCACACCTCGAGGAACGGCCAGCGCTGCGACGGCGCCGCTCTGCGATCCGACACGCAGAGAGAAAAGCAGCCGGAGGAACGCCACGCGCACCAGCCTGCACTGGGCAAGCACGCGCAACGAGCACTGGTCAAGGACCCTCTAGGGGCCCCCGGTAGCCTCCGAAGGCGCTCAGCAGCGTGCTGAGGCCTCAAGGGACCTCTGGGGATCTTCAGAGACTTCCAGAGGCCTCCTCCTGCTAATACTGCTGGTCCTTCTTCTCCTCCTTCCTCCTTCCTCTTATTCTTGTTAGGAGTACTATGCTTATTAGAATTGCGATAAAGCTCTTAAGCTTATTATGTATATTGTGATTGTTTATTATGTTCCTTCTCCTGCTTCGTATCCTTCTTCTTCTCCTCCTCCTCCGCCGCCTCCTCCTCCTCCTCCGCCGTCCGCTGCCGCCGCCACAGCCGCCACCGCTGCCGATGCCGCCACCGCCGCCACCGCCGCCGCCTCCGCCTCCGCCTCCTCCTCCGGCTCCTCCGGCTCCTCCGGCTCCGGCTCCTCCTCCTCCTCCTCTTTCTCCTCCTCCTCCTCCTCCTCCACCACCTCTTCCTCCTGCTCCTTATACTTCGTTTCCTCTTTCCTTTTCCTTTTCCTCTTTCCTCCTTCTCCTCTTCATCCTCCTCATGTTCCTCCTTTCTCCCTCCTTCCTCCTCCTCCTCTCCTCCTCATCTCTCTGTTCCTCCTCCTCCTCAACCTCCCCCCACTCCTCCACCAAACTCCTGCTCCCGAACTCCTGATCCTGACTCCTACGCCCTGCTCCTCCTCCTCCTCATCCTCCTCTCCTCACTCCTGCTAACCCCTCCCCTCTCCTCCCCCTCCTCATCCTCCTTCCTCCTCCTCATCATCCTCCTCACCACCTCTTCCTCGTCATTAACTTCGTCCTCTTTCCGCTCATCCTCCTCCTCATCCCTCTCCTCCCCCCTCCTCCTCCTCCTCCTCTCCTCCTCCTCCTCCTTCCTCTTCTCTTCATCCTCTTCATCTGGTCCTCATCCTCCCTCCTCCTCCTCTCCTCCTCCGCCTCCTCTCCTCCTCTCTCCTCCTCCTCCTCCTCCACCACCCCCCCCCCCCCCCCTCCTTCCTCCTCCTCCTCCGCAGCAGCAGCATCAGCAGCAGACAGCATAATCATTATGATTATAATAGTAGTAGTCGTAATGATAATAACAAAAATAATAATAATAATAATAAAAGAATAATAATAATAATAGTAGTAGTAGTAATAATAATAATAGAAAATAACAATACTAATAGTAATAGTACTAGTAGTAGTAGTAGTAATAATAATAACAGCAATAGTACTGCAAATAGTAATAATACTAATAATACTCATCATAATGATAGTAATAATACGAATACTAATACTAATAATCATAATAAGAGTACTAATAAGTTCAATAATACTGCTACTACTCATAATAATAGTAATAATAAGAAGCATCATCACCATCATCATCATCATCATCAGCATCAGCATCATCATCATCATCATCATCATCATCATCATCATCATCATCATCATCATCATCAGCATCACCATCACCATCATCATCATCATCATCATCATCATCACCATCATCATCATCATCATCATCATCATCATCAGCAGCAGCGTCATCATCATCAACATCAGCATCATCATCCTTATCAGCAACAGCAGCATCATCAGCATCATCATCAGTATCATCATCAACATCATTATCATCATCAGAGTCAGCATCATCAGCATCGTCAGCAACATCATCATCGTCATCATCATCAACAACACATCATCAGCATCGGCATCATCGTCATCAACGTCAGCATCATCATCATCATCATCATCAGCATCATCAGCATCAGCATCATCAGCATCATCACCATCATAAGCAGCATCATCATCGTCATCGTTCGCATCATCATCATCAATATCATCATCAGCAGCATCAACCTCATCACCATCATCATCGTCATAAGCAGCATCATCATCGTCATCATCATCATCATCACCATCATCATCATCATCATCGCAATCATCAGCGTCATCATCATTAGCATCATCATCATTAGCATCATCATCCTCAGCATAACCATCATAATCAGTAGCATCATCATAATCAGCAACTGCATCATCATCATCAGCATCAACATCATCGGCAGCATCATCAGCATCATCAGCATCATCAGCATCATCAGCATCATCACCATGGCCATATTCAGCATCAGCATCATCATCCTTATCAGCATCAGCAGCATCATCAACATCAGCATCATCATCAGCATTATCATCAACATCCTCATCATCAGCAGCATCAGCATCAGCATCATCATCAGCAACATCATCATCATCCCCCTCCTCTTCCTTTTTCTTCTTCTCCTTCTTGCTCCTCCCCCTTCGGTGCACAGCTGATGCCACCGCACGAACAGCACTTATGTAACAAAATGTGCACTGCATCCGATGTACCGACAGGACAAAGTGACTGATGATTCCGACTAGCGCGGCGCATGGTCCAAAGAACCATGTCAGGCATAGGACCGAAATTGTACATCAGCTCTTGGCTGGTGACGTGCTCCTGCTCCCACGCCTCTACAACGGAGGAGTTCTGCAGGCTTGCTTGACCTCGGTCCCGACGTCGCGGCGCGTGCGAGGACTCCGTCCCTCTGCTCATGTACTCTCTCACTCTCACTCTCTCTCTCTCTCTCTTTCTCTCTTTCTCGCTCTCTCTTTCTCTCTCTCTGTCTCTCTTTGTTTACTTCTATGTATATCTCTCTCTCTCTCTTTCTCTTTCTCTCTCGTTCTCTCTCTCTTTCTCTCTCTCTCTCTCTCTCTCTCTCTCTCTCTCTCTCTCTCTCTCTCTCTCTATATATATATATGTATACGCAATATGTGTATATGTCACCCCCTCTCTTGCTCTCTCTCTCGCTCTCTCATTCTTTCTCTCTACACGCTGGAGGTGCAGACAACGAGGAAGACGAAGAGCTGGCGGACGAAAGAGGACGGAGCGACCTCGCCCCGCCGTCCAACGCAAAAAGCCATGACACAAGCCCCAGATGTAGGTCGGGCCTGTCCCCCTACAGGGGGATCTTGGACGAAATATTATAAAAATGCCAAAGAATGTTTAAACAAAAACCGCCCAAAATGCCCAAAAACTGGTCACCTGACTATTGTTTGATTATTTGTGGATATTCCTCCTGTTGAGGGACAGGCCTGACTTAACCCCAGATACGCCTCCACGACCCAAGTCCCACCAGCCCTTCGGTGGCGGTACCAGACCAGCTCTTCCAACAAAAAAATCATCCCCTTCGGAGAAGGGATAGATCGGGCATGTCCTCCTTCAGGTGGATTTTCTGGAAAATCAATGTAGAGGCATCCTAGATGGGGTCCGAGTAGTTGGGGGCGGAGGATCGCACCAGATCGCCAATGCATCACCGATGTATCGGTGATGCATCGGCGATGCATCGGCGATGCACCGGCGACGCATCGTCGACATTGGCGATGCATCAGCGACGTCGACGTGAAGCAAATCAGGCTCCACGTCGAGCCGCATCGGCGATGCATCGGCGATGCGGCACAATCCTCCGACCCCATCTACTCCGACACCATCTAGGGGGCCTAGACAATGACTGTCGAGAAATGCACACAAAGCGTCAACAAATGATAGGAACTTGTCCCCTGACTCTTTGTGACCACTCTTGCATATTCCTCCTGTAGAGGGACATGCCCGACTCAAGGGAAGGGGTCACACCTCCCCCCACCCTCGGGGGTCCTCTGACCAGGGTCAATCCAGACCCGGGTCAGTCAGGCCTTGCAGAGTCCTGCAAAATCCTGGAAAATCCTCCACCTAAACCCGGGTCAATGCGAAGGATCCTGCAAGATCCTGCAGGATCCTGCACCCAAACCCGGGTCAATGCGACCCTGGCCCTGCAGGATCCTGCAAGGTCGGGGCGCTCTGGCTGACCCCCGTTTGCGTTGACCCCCGTCCCAAGGCTCCCGACACCCCTTGCCGAGGATCTGGGCCGGGGATCGCGGGGTGTCCGAAGGTCCGCTCGGGCCAAAAAGGGAGGCGCCCGAATGGTGCCAGGGGTCCCAAGGTGGCCTCCACGCTTGCGCAATGTGGCCCACGGCTAGCCCAGGCTCTCCAAATCATGCCACGCTCTCCCGATGATAGCGGCTTCCCAAGGCATCGGTCCTGGATGGGCTGGTGGAACTACGTTTTTTTGGTCGCGGGCGGACGCGGAAACGCTGTCGCCGAAGGAGAGGTCCGGGCCACGGGCCTGCCAAATTGGCTACGCGCGAGCCTAGAGCGAAGCGGCTGGGCCTGGGCTGGTGGAACTACGCGAAGCGTTCAGAATTGAAAATCCTTCATGCGACGTTGTTGCACAGGCGCGGCGGGAGCGTTTGCCGCAGTCAGCTGGGCGCATTTAAACCATATTCGGAAAAAAACTGGCCCCGCTCGGACAGGAGAATAGTACTGATTTTAGGTCGGAGTACAAGCGGATTTCGGACAAACAAATGAAATACCCCCAAAGTGCTGAAACAGGCTCGGAACTAGTCAAACAATCGTCTCCAGACTATTTTTGCTACCATTCTTGAATTCTCCTCCTGTTGAGGGACGTGCCCGACTTCACACTGATCCTGAATACTTGTTGAGGGATCGGACGAAGGAAAGGAAGGAAGCGGCGAAGCGGAGGGGAAGGGGAAGAATGAAGGGGCCCTGGGACACACCAATAAATACACACAACTAACCGAATTCCCCATATCTTCCCCTATGTTCTGGTTTTTGTTGTCTTCCCCCCCACTTCCCATAGTTTCGCAGATTTTCTCGGAAATCGGGGATCAATTGTATCTGTGTGTTTTTCCCCTCCGGAGAAAACTCGAAGCAGCACGGGAGCGGAGGCGAAGGAGGGAGGGGGGGAGGTATAGAGGCGAGGGGGCGCCAGCGGGGGGAAGCC